GCTGGATACAAGTTATAGACATGTATGACTATCAACTTGATCCAATCAAGGGAGAGTACAACAAAGTAGCTGATGCGTTATCTCGCCGGGCGGATTATCTGGGCGCACTAGTGACTGAATTTGGCATATCTAGCGACTTAACTCGATCATTGGTGGATGCCTATTAGCAAGATCCAGTTATGTCTGAGATCATCCGTAGATTCCAAGCAAAGGACAAAAAGACTTTGGACGAATTTACGATGGTAGACGACTTGCTGTTTCTTGAGAAGGCAGGGAATAAAAGGTTGTGTGTTCCCAGTGGTGAGTCGTTGCGCAGTTTATTCTTAGGAGAATGCCATGATGCAACTGGTCATTTTGTCTATAAAAATACATCAGCGAACTTAGTACAAAAATTTTGGTGGCCCTCTATGATGCAAGATGCAAAACGATACGTTGAAACCTGCCAGGTTTGCCAAAGAGACAAACCAAGGACTCAAGCTCCCCTTGGGCTGATTAAGCCCTTGCCGATTCTTGAAGGACCATGTCAGAGTGTGTCTATGGATTTCATGGACACCCTTGTGACCAGCAGGTCTGGAAAGAGACATATCTTTGTTATAGTGGACCGTTTTACTAAGTACGCAAGACTGATTGCCATGCCAAAAACAGCCAAAACTGACTACGTCATCAAATTGTTTATGGATAACTGGGTACGTGATTTTGGTTTGCCTACATCCATCGTTAGCAATAGGGATGTGAGATTCATAAGTGAACTGTGGCAGTCAACCGCTGAACAGATGGGCACCAAACTCCAAATGACCTCAGGGAATCACCCTTAGTCAAATGGCCAGGCAGAACAGATGAACCGGGTAGTACAACACCTGCTTCGACATTACATTAAGCCAAGTTAGGATGATCGGGACGAGAAGTTACCTCTCGTCACCAGCTTGTACAACAATGTTGTGCACAGTACAACCGGTATGACTCCCAACCAGTTACATCTTGGTCGGAAGCCCAGAACTTCATTGGACTTTCTGCTACCAGAAAAACAATCCACTGCAGCACCTGGCAGCATAGATTTTGCTGTCAAATATGAACAGATGCTGCAGCAGGCCGTTGAACATATTAAGAAGTCTCAAGATGCTATGATTGCATCTGAGTATAAGCATAGACGGCCCTCTAAGTTTCAGGTAGGTGAACGAGTCTGGGTAAAATCATCTTAATTAGGTCAGGAGTTGGGGATATCCAGAAAACTGATGTCACAGTATTTCGGGCTTTGGGAGATCTTGGACATTGTAGGGGATCAACTAGATGGGCCTTCATACGTGATTCGTATTCCTGCACACCTACGCACTTATCCTGTGTTCCATGCTTCCAAGTTGGCACCTTTCGCTGCTACAGAGCAGTTCCCTTCAAGAAGATCAATGTTGCCCCCAACCATGGATGGTGAGGTGAACATCGACCAGATCGTGGAGCACCGAGTGATGCCTGTCCCTCGATCATCAGGTAGAGGGCGCCCTCCTAAGCCGAGAATGCAGTATCGGGTGAGCTTCAGACATCACCTCGATCCCAAGGAAGATCGCTGGCTCACACGAGAGGAACTCGTCAGAACAGTGCCTCAAGTGATTGCAGGCTATGAAAGAGAACGAAAAGGGAAGATGCCTGCAGAATAAGAGACTTCTCAGAGGACTAACGAAGTAAAGGAGGAGGGGATGCGAGGATTAGGGTCCTCGGTAGGCCTAAGGGGCCCTGTTTGCAGCATTGCCCGCCCTAAGTGAAGGCGAAGGTGCCCGCCCTAAGTGAAGGCGGGCCTGATATATCGCAAGAGGCCCTCGACTGTCAATCTCATATTTGGGGTCCAGGTAGTTGTGACCCGCCAGTTGGTTGAAAGAAACTCAGGCCGGGCCACACAGACATTTCCCAGGCCTTTCCGGGCTTTTCCAAAGGATGTAGGCCCTGGGCGTGATTCACAGCCTCATACAGAGACAGTTGGGCGCCCAACCGAACGAGGCCCAGCAGCCCAGTAGCTGCTGCATCCAGGCAGCCTCCTGGGGCCTTCCGGAAGCTTCTGGGTCCAGGCCAGTGCAGCCAGGCTGTGCAAGCAGGCCGAATCTTTCCATAAAGGAAAGAGCTCTGGCCCTGGCTGCTCATGCGGTCACTTGCTGGCTGGCGGCAGCGCTGTTGGAGCGATTGCTCGTGGGCTGACTGCCGGCATTGGAGCAAGAGGCTGCGCACGTGCAGTCGTGTGGGAGACCAGGGCGCTGCTGAGGGCAGCGCCATAGCTAGCCTCCATAACGGGCTTGGCTTGGATACACAGTGAGGCGCTGGGGTGGTCTTTGGGTGAAGGAGAGTACAGGTGTGGGTGTAGTCAGGGGATAGGTGAAGGATGATGATGATGATGATGATGTGAGGGCACATACCTTGTATTGGCGATGGTCTGCATGGGCGACATCTTCAAGTACTTCGGGCTGCCGCTGATGTCAACAGTTGCATTGTCTTTTTGTAGTCTGTAGTAGCTGTGTAGGAGTAGGTTGGACGCTGAGCGCCGAGTGTGAGTGTGAAGGAACTGGACTCTTGTGTTGAGAGGAGAGAGTATGCTCTCCATGGACATTGGTTTTTAGTGCTACGAACCTCCATTGGTGTATTATTGGTGCAATGCTGCTCGCTGGACACGGTGTGACTATTTGGCTTTCAATGTGATGGTGTGATCTGGAATTGTCATCTCGCTGTTGCTTATTTTCCTTGCACATTTTCTCATTTTTTTTTATATTGAATGATTGATTGATTGATTGGTGGGGGAGAGGTCGCCCCCCCCACCCCCACCCGATCACACACACACACACACACACAAACTTGCGCGGGGTTTGAAAGCCCATTTTCTCGTTTTTTTTTTTTTGATTG